CTCTGCCGGAGGTCTTTTGAAGAGGACCTGCTCTTCCTTCAGGTCCCCACCACCAAATCACCACCCTGCACCAATCCGGCCGCCAAAACGAAGGACGATGTCGCGCCCTGCGGCGCGCGGCGCGCCCGTGCGTCGAGCGACGTTCGAAGCTGGTCTTGGCCACCAGGGTGGCGCGAAGGGAGGCCTCGTTCATCCTGCGGCATCGTGGCGGGTCGCGGGAGGGCGCTCGGCTTCTGCGGCCGAGAAGGAGTGTTGACTTGGCTGGTGAGGTCAGGCTGTGCCACTGCTTTCGGCGAACTTGGTGCGGATTGCCTCAGAAGGCAATGAGATCGAAAAAGGTGATCTCAGAGATCCCCCCTTCGGTGATCAGGCATGATGAGGTTTTTCAAAAGCCTGCTCAGCCACGCAGAGTAAACGGATGTCTTTCCATCCCTACAGTAAAAAAACGTGCCTGTGGAAAGTGAACCAATTAGTTGTGACATGTCACTTAAAATCCGCCGACCCCACACCGTGGGGTGAGGCGTGACTGTCGATGTTAGCCTTAGCCTTAAGCCTTAGCCTTAGCCTTAGTCCTTAGCCTTAGACCTAGTCCTTAGCCTTAGACCTAGACCTTACCTCCCCTACCCCTCCGGACCCTTGTTGCAGTGACGAAATCCGGCCCGGAATTCTCCAGGAAATTTCGCTGGTTGCGACGTGGATTGTCCAAGATTCTGCCATCCCAATTGATTTACATCTTGGGGCACCCTCTCAACCCGCGCGGGAAAATAAGCACGGTCCAAAATGGTCCTGGGCTCGAATCCCGGGCTGGTCGCGGCATGGTCCCGGCCAATGCCCTTGCTTTTTCGTAGATTTTGTCACGTTTACTGTTGGTTTATGAGATTTTCAAAGGCTTTTCTGGCATTTTCCTAGGAATGCTGTAGGCTTTGTCTAGATTTTGTTATGTTTTCGGCTGGATGCTTTTCCAAGCACGTATGGTAAATCTGGGAGGTACCCAAAAGTCGACTTTTTGGGTACCTGCTGTGGTGGTGATGGGTCTGAACTCTTAGGCAATCATATCGTCTATGGGGAGAAGGGTTCAGCATCACGGGGTTCATGCAAGCGATGACGTCCGATGGTAAATCTGGGAGGTAGACTTTTTGGGTACCTGCTTTGGTGGTGGGTTGGGTCGCCGGGAGAAACCGCTCGATTCAGCACAAGTCCGGGCGCCGACACTTGTCGCACTTGAATGTACCCGAGACCATGGGCAGCGCCCTGCGCCGCCGCATCCACACTCCTCGCGGTCTGCCCGCCGTGGACCACGAAGCTCTCGCCACAGGCCACCACAGCAAATCCCTCCATTCTCGGCCATGCAGCAGCATCAGTGCCCCACGACACACATAGAGCCACCCCAAACAGCTGCCACCTGCCCTCCAAGACCAGATCCACAGAGTCCTCAGCCCAGAGCTTTCCCTGTAGCAACTGGTCCTCCAAGGTTCGACCACTGGTCCAGTCCCTTCCCGCGAGCTGCCCCTGGACCATCCGCAACTATCACAACCACACTTCTCCAGCCAAAAGTGCTGCCGGCAACGCCCAACTCACGCTCCGCCCGCGCTAAACCCGCTCCTCGCACCCCGGCCCTCGCATTCCCTAGCTTCACTCCACACTCCACTACACATCCCTTGCGCGCCTCGTCCAGCTCCAGCAGCCGTCCGCTTCCGCCAGCCTCCCAAAACACTGCGCGCCGGCGCTTTCCGCTCACGACAACTACACCGAGCAGTTTTCCGTGGCCTGCATAAGGGCATGGGCAACGCCCTCGCTGGCTGACGCGACCTAGCAGACACCATGGGCAGCGCCCTTCTCCCGCAGGGAGCGCACAACACAAACACCGGCCGCCTCTCACCCGACAACTTGGGTGACGGGGGCTCTTCTCGACTCCTGCATTTGGCTCAAGGGGTGCTCCAGGAAACCCTACCCTTCCACACCCTTCCGTCCCCCCCTCCCCCCCCGGCCTACCGCACTGCAGACATTCGGCCACGCGCGCGTGCCGCCCGCGTGTACATGGCTACGGTCTCTTCCCTGGCTGGCGCGAGAAGCTCGCCATCACCTCCCCGAGCTTCCGTTTGCGCTGCTCCGTCCTAGAACCAACACGCCACATGGCGCAGACACGGGCGCCTGACAGGCATGCGAAAATCTTACCAGGGCCTTTCGCGTTACCGCGGGCACTGGCTGGACCTCGTCCAGCACAAAATCTAGACAAAGCCTAGCGCATTCCTGGGAAAATTCCAGGGCATTGGCCGGGGTTAAAAATAAGTTCATCAATTTTTGAGCAAATCTACATGCAAGCGGACATGCTAGATAATTCTACAACCATGGAAAAAAATGGGGAACTCCTACCCGGGGGCGGTCTAAGGCTAAGGCTAAGTCTAACGCTAAGGCTAGGCTAACATCAACAGAGCTAGCGCTAAAGGTTCTATCCCTTGGGGGTCGGCGGCTGCAGGCGGTAGCCTGGTAAATAAAACTAAATAAAGGATGATGACGAGTGCGAAGCATGATGACGAGTGTGAAGCATGTGTGTTTAATGAACATCTATATACACACAAATGCATTGTTTGTTCATGTTTGTTCTACTTCCTGCAGATTCCTGCAGCGAGAAGAGATTCTTCTGGCCGTTATTTTATGGCTGCAGTGAGTTTCAACGGACACATGTGCATGTGTGCATGTGTACATGTGCATGTGTGTGGTACATGATGTACATATGCATGTGTGTGTGCATGTGCATGTGTTTACGACCAAATCGATCATCAATCCGCCTCATGAAGAACTTCCACGCATCATCCGCTCCACATTGGAAGGGCCACTGGATCCATTGGTCGATGGTCACCTGACGTCTCCGCGGTCTCCGCACCGCTCTCCCAACTCGGATGGATTCGTTTAGGTCCAAGGGTGACGAGAAGAGAAACGACTGAAGAGGGTGTTGCAGCTCCCTGAAAGAGTCTTGAGTCTGAGTCTTACACTCCCTGAAAGAAGCTACTCTCATAGAACCAAGGGAAAAGCGGATGGGCGGATGAACCAGGAGTGAGTGAGTGAGTTCACCGCCTGGGACGGGTCTTTTCGGATGTTCATGAACAGTCAATGCTCATAGACAGTCACTGGGTGACTTCCTTCTTTTCTGAAGAGCTTGACCCCTTCCACCAACAAAAGCACTCCCTACAGAATCCCCCAATCTATATTCAAACATTTCACACATCCACGCAGAGCAGCCCAAGTGCCCAACCATCCAAACCTGAGCCTGAACCCTTTGGGCTGAAGACCGCCCGGCCCCTTCAGCCCGGCACCTTGGCATCGGCATCGGAGGCGGCCGCGTGTTGCTGGCGGAGGCTCTTGGAGATGAAGTCCCGGGAATACCTGAGACGATGGTCTGAGATCGCAACGCTCGGGGCGAACGGAGCCAAAGCGCGAAGCGACAGGCGACAGCAATGTTGGTGAAAAAAGGCCACAGTTAGGTGGGGTGTGGGGAGGGAACTGTGGTGCTCTTGGTTGGAGGGTGAGAGCTGTGGATTGTTTTCAGGCTCTTGCATGATTCGCCCGACGACCAAACTAATTTGCTTCAAAAAGGCCGGATGTCACTTCATGTAACGTGATTCATAGGGGAAGAGTCACTTCTTGTTCTCGATATTCTGGGAGGTCCAAAGCACAAAAGGAAGGAAGTGCTAATGATTGAACAGCGTCATCTCAAGCTGTTGAGGGAATGCCGAGTGCTGCCCTATAGTTGGTTTCTTCCTTTAAACACTTCCTACCAACCAAACAGTCACTCAGGATTTGAGCTGGCCAAACGACCGCCAGCAGTCTGCTGGGTCCTGTGGCACCCGGCCAGGAGAACATGGGCAAAACAAAGATGCCAGCAGCCACCTGTCTTTTGCGGAGCATGCAAGCAATGGCAAAGCATCACAAACTGCGACAAGACATCAAAACCCACCAGGAGATCAGATGAGATCAGGGGTCGGGGCGCTGTTTGATGGACCCTCCCCCCAAAAAAGGGCCCCAGAGGGTGGGTCGAACCTCCTGGATGCACCTATGGTCTGCGCCCAGATGGTCTGAGGGCGGACGGTCTGCTGAAGGTCAGGTGATGAACTGCAACTGACTGCAGGAGCATGTTTTTCATGCAAGCCAGTGTCAACATCCAACAGCTTTCATCATTTGCCCAGATACTCTGGGCGTCAGTGGGTCCAAAGTTAAGGGAACATTAACATATGTGTATAGACCTGCATAGATCAGAGTCGAGATTCTGAATACTACAAGAAAAGCAATATAAATCTAAGTGTTGCAACTCGCAACAATAATTATCCTCTAGTATACCAGTATGATAGAATCCGTCCTCGCCCATGTGCAAGGCCCAGGCGAACAAATCCCCACGTTCAAAACAAACGTCTCTGCCGTCTCTGCCTCTGCCGGAGCTGTCTCGATACCAAGCTCATCACACACTTGGAGCACCTGGCACGTGGAGCATCGGGTATTTTGCACCTCCGCTGTGCCATGTGCTTTGAAAAAAGAACCATATCATGACCGGTAGGCTGATTATTCTTCAGCAAGCACTCACCATGCGGCACAAAGAACAGGAGCCTTGTCAACCTATCTTTGGAACTGGCTACGGCTTGCAACCAGTGTGATAGATTTGAGTCAGGGGTGTGTTGAAATAGGTAACCAGTATGCTTCCAACCAGTGTGGGTGATGGGTGTGTGCGAGTGTGTGCGTGTGCGAGTGAGTGGGTGTGTGTGTGTGTGTTGAAATAGGGAGACCCCCAAAAGGACCCATGGAGGAGCAACCAAACGGGGCCGGGAACACAAGCAGGTTGGGGCTTATCATTGAACTTTTGCATCTATTGACACGAGAGAAGTACCATAATTACACCATGAAATCCAGTCCACAAGCCACACAAATGCCATCCAGCAGCACTCGTGTGGGTTGTACTCCCGCAGCAGGGCTTACTCTGTGGATGAGATCCCATGGCCCCTTTTGTTGTGATGACCCGTCCCAAACATCCGAAGACCCGTCCCAGGTGGTTTCCCTCACTCACTTCATCGATTCCTCCGCACCGGTGCTGCGCACCCCGCCGCTCCCTGCGGTCGCTCCTGCCGCCGCAGAGCCGCTCTCCGTTTTGGACCGGGTTCGGATCTCGCGGGCTCCGTCGTTACGCGTTGGGCTTTAAGAAGCCCTCCAAGCGTTTCTGAAGGCTCATACGCATAAAGGCTTCCAGGACCTGGAAGACGGGAAAAAAAGAAGCGGAGGAGAGAGCGGAGCGGAGAGCAGGACAGGCCGTATTTTCCAGGCATCAAGCTAAACCCTTGGGCCCTTGGGAAAACCAATTGGCAAGAATACAAACAAGATGGTACAGTATTAAGACTTTCAGGAGGCCAATATCTTTGAGAATCTGTGAGAACAGTTTCTTTGATGTTTAATTAAAATAGAGAAACCAAGATCAGTTTGGAGTCTGGGGATGAAGTGGCACAACTTCCCTCTGCAATCTGTGAATATTGGAACTGCGGATCCACTCTGAGAGCGGGTTGATTATGCATCCCATCTGCGTCAACAGATAGGAGAAGCACGCGCGCAAACGACCTACTTCACCCTACAAATCAATTGGAACATCCAAAGAATGGGTTGAAATGGGTTGAATATGGTTGAATGGGTCGACATCCCTTGACAACCCTTGACACCTCTTCAGTACTGGTCGACATCCCTTGACACCTCTTCACTGGCAGAAGTTCGATCAAGCCTGATCAAGCAATGTCTTTTTGGGAACAGAGGGGTCGATGCCAAGTACCACGTACCAACATGCCCCACGACCGGGGGTGTTCCCTCTATTCATCAATCAGCCAGTGGCAAACTGCCATCCACGTTTCGATCCCTTTCGTACGGCGCCGGCGCCCCGCCTGTCCACTGTCCCACAGTGCCGCCGACGCGCCGTTCCCGCGTCTCGAGACACGCGGGAAAACGCCGTGTCGAGACACGCCTTGCAGGACTTGTCGGCGGCCTCGATACAGCTGGACCAAATGGTCGCATCCAAGGGAGCACCACTGGAGATGTGACTCACCAATTGATTTCCTCAGCGACGTTGGATGGCAAATGGTGGTGTTTAATGGTTTTGGAGGATGTTTGGAGGATGCAAGTGGCACAAGCTTTGACTGGAAACAGGTCGGTGATGTGCATAATTGTTAATAATTATATGGTAATTCATATATTAAATATATCTTCATAGTCTCTTCAGAACTTACTTCGAGGGATCCGTTAGCTTCTTGGTACTTCGCAATGACCCCATAGCTGCATTTGGCTCATAAGGTCACCCCACTGGGTTCTGGGCGTTTTTGAATCTTCGCTCGCATACCAAACTGCTACAATCACCACCCTAAGGCGAAAACACCCCAAACATCACCAAAAGCTCGCTTCCCACCCACCCACCGGCTCGCACCGACCGCTGTTTTTTCCTGTGTGCAAACCTGGGGTCCTCCGCGCGCGCCCCCGCGCGGTCTGTGTTTCTTGCCACGGGTCGGCTGCCATCCATGGACAGCGAGATCAAGGCGTCACACTGAGCTTCCTCCAGCTCCGTGGGGTCCAACCTAAGCCACGGAGCGGACGGCCGGGTCTCCCAGCGAGCAATCTGGCGAGCAATCGGAGAGCACGGGGAGTGAAGCGATGCATGGAAAGGTGGCGAAAAAGGAATCTCCAAGCTGCAATGAACGGATAAGGATGAAACGATACTCCTCAAGTCCAGTTGGATGTGATTGGATCTTGTGTTCCTTGGATGGTCCTCTTCGACTGTGCTCTGTTAGGGACTTAGTAAATGTCGAGACCGCAACAATGTCCTCATGAAAAGCATAATTACTGTATTACTGTACCTACCACACATACACATGGTAGCTGCTGGCTCCACCTGTGATATGGGGCATCTCTGCGAAGGGCAGTTGGAACCCCAAACACGTTGCTTTTCACGTTGATGACCCGTCCCAAGTTTGGACCAACCAGTATATCTGTTGTCCTCCATCCACAGCGATCCTCCAGAGCTCACAACGTCTGGTGGGGTGACCTATATGTGTCCAGCTGACCTTTGTTGCCCGAGGATGCTTCAAGATCGACACCAAGAGGCCAAATCACCGGCTCTGGGCTCAACTTCACCTCAGCCAATGGCCAAGAAACACAAGGATTCTACTGCAAGCTTGCTCCAGGTGCTGGATCCCAAATTCCACTTACCAATTGGCACCCACCCCTTCTTTGTCCAAGTGACCAACATCATGACCTACCAAAAACACTAAGAATACCTCCCTCACAAGTCACCTCGATAACCCACCTCACCCAAACCGTGCACCCCAAACATCTCCAATGCCATTGAGTCTGAACACAACCCATGCCACTTGACGTCAAATTATGAGTCTATATATATATATATTTATTTATATAATTATATAACTATACATATATATATAACTATAATTGTATATACATCCCTGAAGTTCTGCAGGAAAAAAATAAAACATTTAAAAACACACACAAAGACAAAACAAAAACATACAAAAACGAATCTGATCTTGAAGTAGCTGTTTTCTCACCAGTTCATCCCGAGTCATCCTCGCCATCTTCCCCAGGTCTCCATCTTCTCCCATCACCAATGCTTCCCACGTCACTCCCAGTGCCACACACATCGCGGTCGCCTTCATCGCCACGCCTGCGTCCAGCAGCGCCAAATGCGCCGCGTTGCCCGCCACGGCCGCGGTGGAGCCGTCGCAGCAGCTCATTTGCACGATGACCTCAGCAGCTCGGGCCGCATTTGAGGGCGCCCTTTGAGGGCCTGGAGGGCCTAAGTTTTCATGGAGATCTATATATATATATATCCTTGCTGGAAGAATGTATTTGTAGAACTGAGCGTATTTAGCTGCATATGTAAACCGTATAGTATACGTATTGCTATCATTTACCATCATTATATACACTTGTCAGCCAGCTTGGATGTCAAACACTTGGATTCGAGGTGCTTTACCAATCTGTCGCCTCCATGAATAGATCATCCCGGCCCCGAACGAGGGAGAAGCCCTAGAGGATCAATCCGCACTATCCCTGATCTATTTGGAAGAAATACCAATGATTCAATGATCCAAGAGATGTCACCCATGTTCGCCGTATAAGCTCACACTCATCATCAACGATCGAACCTGCCGGAAACAAAAAAAGAAGGAACGGAAGTTCAGCCAATCAATGGCAGGTCGCTGAGATCTGTGTGCGAGGGTATTCCGTGGCCAGCACCACCTGAGGGTCCAGCGTGGCATAGCGACAACAGTGGCACAGCGTGGCGATGCAAAAAAACACCTGAACCACAAGGATCCCCTTTCTCTTGATAGTGCTGGTAGCTTCTCAAGGAGAGTAAAATTTGTGTCCATTTACAGTATGGGTCAACAAGTAGAGGAGACAGACAGTGAAATCATTCTCAACAACAATCTTGCCGAGATCTAGATCGAGAACGCAAGCATATGACCCCAAGTACAGAACGCGTCCATGTTTCACAGTACCTGGCACTCTATGAGTAACAGGTGGGAGTAGCCTGGCGTTGGAAGAGACTTGGTGTTTGCTCGCATCCCCATCCACAAACGCCAACTCAGGAGAGAGGATCAAATCGGCGAAGAGAGCACCAAGATAATCCAAGGCACATATTCCAGCTGTCGTGCCAGCAACGCTTCCATCCTTGACTGCCACTCGTTGTGTGAGGGCTTGTCAAGGAAACAAATCCGACAACGATCCCCTCACCTGCCCATGCAAGCATCCTCTCACTCCACAAAATTCCAACCTCCCACTCAAAGAATCCACTCACTTCACCCATCCATCCGCTTGTTCCAATGTCTGTATGTTTCCCCTCTTCTCACTTCTCCACCCTTCTCCACTCCACTCCAGTTCATTCCAGTTCCAAGCTTCTGCCGTTCTTGAGGCCCTGGAATCCCCACCCGCGGCCGCACCACCACGTCCAGCGTGCAGCGGTCGCAGAGCTCCCGGTGCCGCGTGCGCGGCTCCTTGGGGCCATAGACGGCGGCCAGGACCTGAGAGCGTCCGGACGCGCTGGACGTAGCTCCGGACGCGCCGCTACGAACGTCACAAGGGCATTACTAGTAGCAGCTACTAGGTGGAGGCCATCGCTATTAGGTTGGAGGCCATGCTACTAGTAACTAGGGCATTACTACTATAGGTAGCAGGTATCTACTAGTAGCGTCCTTGCTCCTAGTAGCGTCTTGGAAAAGGAATTCAGGGTAATCAGCTTCTAGCTACTAGTAGCGCTGCCCTTGTTCCTAGTAGCAATGCACCTTGCTACTAGTAGACAAGCTGAGCCATGCTGTTTTTTCTGATACTGCCTCAGGATTTGAATCAGAGCAACCGAGTGGAACCCAGTATTATACAAGTTGCATCTGTTTGTTGTTAAAAAACTGTTCAGAGCTTGCAAAGATATATGTGTGCCCCATACTGTTGTTCGTGTGGACTGCCAAGGGGTGGTTGATGGGTGGACACCCCTGGACCTCTAAGGGGGGCTAGGCTATTGGGGCTGGGTCTTCTTTCTCACCTCTCGGGGCCTCTCTAGGTCTGGATCGTTAGCTCGCACGTACTATCCGGTGTTCCATGACTTCTTAACAAAATCCGTATGGCAGACTGAAGAGTTGGAAGAGCAGACTTCTTAAAGCTCACGAGCTAGTTGGATCGAATCTATGGATGGATGGAGACCAGTTGGTGCACGGAGGTGTGAATGAGATTGGATGGATGAAAATGCATGACACCTGCAAATCAATTGAACGACCATCAATAGGAGTGCATCACGGAAACACATGGACCAACTTCTTTGACATACCATATCCATTTATTAATTTAAGGACCCGGCCCATTGTTTTATGGCCTTCATGGTGTCAAAGACCACACCCCACCCAACACCGCCCACGGAGAAACAACAATTGAAGAGCCAAACCAGGCAAAAAGGACCTGACTGGCACATACTGGCACTATCCATCACTATCCCACCAAAAACACCTTCCTCCACAACCACCCAAACCTCGCCCAAACAACCTCACTTCGCCCCTCAAACGCTCGGCCGGAGATACCGTGCAGTCTCCGAAGCGGAACCGCGCCGAGCCGTCGGCGCGCTGCAGGGGGCGCAGCTCCACCTGCGGTGGACGCAGCTGGTTGGCACTGCGGCCGTCACGCCGCGCCATGGCCGGTGGCGACCGCCCGCGCCGCGTCGAGGGGCAGCTGTTTTTGGGTGGTGTGATTTGGTAGCTCGGGAGTAACAGATTCTGGACTGTATGATGAGACTTGATGAGCTAGGTTGAGGGAGTATTACAGAATAGTACATTACATTGGGAATTTGGTGTCAACAAGACGAATCTTTGATCTGGAATGGTGGGAAGGTGTTTTCGCTGGTGTGTTTTCCTCGAGAGGTTTATGAGATGGTACGAGTGCCCATCCTAGGCATTTGGTCGGTGGGATCAGGCCGATCTTGCGTCCAAGTACATCATTCTGTGTGATTTCATCACTTGGGCGTGGAGAGTTCCTGGGAGATGATGTGCTCATGGGAGATGAACTGCTGTGATGTCTCTTCATCGGTGGGGATCTTGACAGCGGACTGAAAGAAGGGGCCCTTGGAATGTTGGTGGAACGTGAACTTGAACCAAAGGAACTGTTTCGCTATATTCTCATCTTTTCTATCTAAATGGGTTGATGCCGCGAACGACTGATTGCAAGATGTCCGTCGTCTAGATTTTGCTGACGTGCGAACAGCCACTCACAGCCGCTCAATCTGTCGACCCCTTGAGGATGGGCTTGACTCCATCACTCGAATTCCTTCAAGATGGGGAGAAGGCATGAGTCTGCTCACCTGCTGCCAAGAGCCCAGCTCCGATGTTTTGGCAGGTCCGAGATGCATCGTCAGTTGCGCAGTAGCGTTCCCGGTTAATCCCAAGGAGCTCTCCAGATCAGCGGAAAAAAATGCTCCAACCCCCCCCATGGGGGCCATGAAATGACGCACTTGGGACCCTTGGGCCCTGGGTAATACAAACATGCAGGTTTACTAGCATCCCTGAACGAGGATGGTACCGGGAGTGGTTTCAGAGGTGAGAAATGGCACAAGTGAACCCAAGTTTGGTGGTCTATATATGGACCTTCATCTTTTCAGGACATCTTGAGGTCTGTGCCATCTACTCAACCACAGAATTAAATAAACACAACTAGTAATCATTGATGGACAGTCATCCTGCACCACCTCCGATTCGGCGATTCCTGAGCTCGCATGAGTGCACGGACCGTGCGGTTGGACTCCGCCGGTGCAGGATGGACTGTGTATCCCAAAGGCTCCATGGTGGTGCAACTATGACCATGGGTGATTTGAGTGGTTTATAGTCCGTATCAACCTACATTGGAGCAATTGGGATACGAAACGCAACATATCCGTTTCCCACTGAATCATACCGAATCCCCAAACTTCTCCACCAACTGAATCCCGAAACTTCTTCTATAGGAACATGAAGGAAATAAACTATATCAAAATTGATTATTCTCACATCTTCGACGGCCTTGAAAAAAGAGCTGATCTTCGGTCAAAGAGACCCTTCGCATCAACCGTTCTGTATCTCCAGGGGGTCCTCCATGAGATTTTGCAGGTGGACCAGCTGGGCGACGCTACACCATTCGATCTCGCGCACTGAGAGTCGCCGAACGACCATGGACCAAATGGACTCTGTCGCTCGTCACGCGAGACGAACTCGGTCGCGGGAAGGGGAAATCCAGCTGACGAACCTCTCCCAGAGTTGATTAGAAGAGGAGGTCGTCACTTCTGCAGGTGTGGCGCCTCACAAGGCCAGAAAATGGGTGGAGAGAAACCTTCAGGCCCCTGGCCTGCTAGCCATGCCCTTAGCCATGGCAGCAAGCACTTTGAGAAGGGTGAAGAGTTTCAGACTTCAATCCCTGGTGCCACACATAAACCCAACCCTCAAAAGCCTTCTCATGAACAATTAACAAAGGTTTCCAGCTTTAGACTGCAGTATCTCAGGGATGGTTTCAGTATGTTTCACTTCTTTACCAGTCCGGAAGGCTTCATTCGGGCAGTGCCAAGCATGCAAACAAATGTGCGTCGCGCGTCCGCCCCGTCTCTTGTAGCCGAACGTCCGCGCGGCACATCTGCCAAAATGCGAATTGGGCGCCCCTCGCGATGGCTCCAGGAGTTCGTTGAGACGGTCACATCATCCGGTCGGTGGTTTTCTTGGAGAAGTGGTTGGACAGCGGAATCCGGAGGACTCTCCGGAGGACTCTCCGGAGGACTAGGAGGAGGAACTGGGACCCACGTAGCCAGTTTGACCAGTCAGGCTGAAGCTTGAAACCTCCTGACTTCAAGTTTGCCTGGTTCACATACCAGGTTAACCTTAATCCACTGCTGGATTGTAGTGGGAAACTGGTCCCAAAAAAATGATAAAGAATGTTACTGTAAAGGTTATCTACGAGGTAGGGGTGGGTTCAAAAAAGTTAGCGTCCAGTTCCAGAGTCCATAAGCAGCATTATATATAATTCTGGGAAGCAGCCACCATGCAAATATACTTTTTCGGAGTGTTTTAGCTAGTGGGTTTAACTGACAAGCCAAGGGTTAATAAACGAAAAAACATATCCTAAGGTAAATCGAGGTGCATGAAAGGGGGGGCTCCCAAATATGATCCAACCACCGATCTTTGTGCCATGTTGAGCCATCAGTTTTCACCGGCGTCAGGCGTCACGTGAACTCTCTTGGACCTTCCGAAGTGCTAAACGAACGCGGCTTCTGAGGCCCTGTACAAGGCATGGAATTGGATGCAGCCGATCGTGGACCCGTCTGTACAACGGGGGAAGCTCGGCCAACGCACCGCAGTTGCTGTTCGACCCATGTGTTCGACGAACCAAACGAGCCGCAGAATCCACCGAAGGTTGTTGGTGCAAACGAAAGACCGACTCTGAGTCGCTTGTCTATGGACGTCTCCGGAACGGTGGGTGAATTCCACAGACTCTGGCAACGAATTCGGAATTCTGCAGCCTGGAAATACACCATCTCGCCTGGGCAGTCCGTTGGCAAAGTCTATACTCAAAGCCTTCGAAAGGAACACAAGTCTTCCGTGCAACCCTTTGGAACCTGGCCCTTTGGAACCCCGCGCTCGCGCCAAAACACCAAAAAACACCGGACGTTTGGACTGTCAACAACCCCCAGATTCTGTGTAATGTTGTCAGGAAGTAGGCATGAGGCGTGAGGCGATCTTCTCAAGGCCATGGATTGGATTGATGACTTCTTCCCTGAACAAATGGCCGTCCGGCCATTTGGAAGGTCACATGGCAGAAACCGCCCCAGCTGGTTGGGAAGGGAAGTCTCCCTTGTAAACCAGCTGGGAAACATGTGCACATCACCGGCTGGGAGTCATGATGAGTCACGGGCTTCTGGAAGGACAGAAGTGCGTGCAACATGCATGACTACATGTCTCACCAGGGTCCACAGTCAGCGTGATGAATGGACATCCCGGAATCACCTCTGTTCGGGCACGTTTCCTCCAAGATGGGGGTCCATATAAACCACCAAACTTGGGGTAACATGTGCCATCGAACCTCTGAAACCACTCCTGGTACCATCCTCGTGAACCTGCTAGTGAACCTCCATGTTTGTATGACCGGCCGGGAGTTGGACTGGATTCCCCACACCCTTTGCTTGCTTTTCCAACCTCACAGTGTCTCAAGCATCTTTACCCATGATGTGTGCGACATGTGTCTGATGTGTCGACGTCCATACAACCTGCCCAACAGGGCAAACGACCCAAAACTCGGGGTATTCATCAGCAGTCAACCGGGTGTGATTCTGTATGGAGACCAGTCTAGTTCCGTTCTTCCAGGGCTTGCAGGGGGTCGAACTGGAAGCCCTCCTTATCTTTGTACACACTCTGACGAGCTGTGCACATCTCCAACCTCCCAACGCTTGCCGATCGAGCTGATTAGGTGTCAATGCTTCAGCCGATGAAGCGCCAAGGAGCAGGCAGCAGAGCCAGGCAGTGCCGGTCCAATGCTTCAGCCTCAGAAGCCGATATTGATCCAACAAGGGACACATGGCTGTGAGGTTGGTCAAAACCTTCCCCAGTCAGTTGACACCCCTAGAGGAATCTGTTCATCTTCAGTCAACCGTCCGGGTGCCCTGGTGCTATGACCGCCGCTGTGGTGTACCGGTGGAAACCACGACCCAGGTGTCGATCGCGGAGCAAACCTCCAGGTTGAACGACCCCCCCCAAAAGAACCATCACCCAGCGCACTGCAGAACCAACACCAAACCCGGTGGTGTCCACGTCGTGCGAGACGGGGTCCAAAATTCGACGGAGAACGCCGATGGTCCGACCCCTCGCTGGTTTCCCCGCCTAGGGCGACGCACATCCGCACATGGCGTAGTGGTAGGGCTCGCTAGGCATCGCCTCCGGGCTGGGGGATCTGGACTAGTGACCTCTCACGGCAAGCCAATGTATACAACTCATTATACATCACATGTCACATTAAATAGTTGGATCATTTGATCAAATACCTGGGAGATGTACCAGTCAGGAAAGTTGGACCAGTCAGGAAAGTTGGACATCAACATCTGTACTAATCTATACCATGATTCTTGGGAACCTGGATTTTGTGCCGAGGGAAACTCTCTGGCTGATCTCTCTGTTGGAAGAATGTTCACAAGTCGAGGAGCGTGTGAACACGTCCAAAAGAACAAATTACGCAGTGGGCTTCACTCTCCGTTTTGGTCACTCGCTCTCAGGCGTCCTGGTCCGCCGGCAGAGGCAACGCCGGAAGTTCGGCGATGCGCGCACCTCAAGGTGACTGGCTTTTCGTGAAGTTGAGATGATGCTCTGCTGGTGGGGTGCTACTGATAAGTTTTGTTATTTTCCTCACCGGTGGTCCATGATTGATCTGATAGGAAACGTGACCTGTCCACTTTCCAGTTTCATCAAGTCACAGAATTGCAATGGCCAGACTGGACGTTTGAGATCTGCATGGCCGCCGGAATCGGATCTGAATCCTTTGTAATACCGGACTTGAGAGAGGAGGGGGTGAACGAAAGGTAGCAGGCAATCACAAGTAACCCTGGTAGAAGTCCACGACGGCGTGAACCGGCGCAGGGGGGATTTGATCCAGGGGGGGCCCCCCCCCCCGACGAACAGAATCAACTCTTACAGGACCAAATTCAATGCACAATCCCAACTCCTGATTGTAATACATTTTTGCTAAAGCAAGGAGAACTCAGGTAGCTCAAGCTACCTTTCGTGATCTGGGGCAGGACTTTTCGCCCATGGTCAATCGATGTAAATGTCACAGAAACCAGGGCTTGACAGACATGCCATGAAACCAAACAGTGCACCATGGGACGACAGCTTGTAAAGATACTGATACTTCTCGACACGCGATGTCCTTTGTCAGGCTGGCGGCTGAGTAAAGAGCATGCAGTTCTTAGAGGTCACTTCCAGGGGAAGGTGATTCGGATTCCAAAGAACACAAACCCCATCTCTGAAATAGAATGGAATAAAGGCCGCTGTGAATAATTCCATATAAATGCAATTCAATGCATGTCCATTTGTGTCTCGCGTCTAGCTTATAAAACGCACAAACATAGGAACTCCTCCAAGATCTTCCGCCCCTCCAAAAAAGACACCGTGAACCCGGAACCGTCCAAGATCTTCCCAGATTCATCAGCCCAACTTGCTAAGCAGCTCATTGACTCTCCTTTCTTCATGGTCTGTGCCAAGGGCTTCTGGAAGACGTCCGCCTCCAAATCGCCCGGGGGTTCCCACGTCCACGTCTCCGTCTCCCCGCAGCAAACGAGCCCCTTCCGGTGGTTTTGGGGCGGAACGCGAAGGGACTTCTTCGGACATTCTAAGAAGGGTGGTGGCTCCATAGGGCATGTCAACTCGCAATTTGGGAGAGTCTTGTTTGTTCAATGAGAGTCTGGCTTTTTCTGCTCCTCCATCAGATTGCTTCGCACTCATGACCTGCTATGCATATCAAAGTCTTCTCCAGCCTTTTAACGCTTCCACCAACTTCTTCCAACTTGGACTGATTCAAGACCACCATTTTGATACTTTTGCAACATCCCAGAGAACGTGTTCTCACAAAAAGTCGTACCTTAAATATATCCAAGTGCGTCAACCAGCCCAAACCCATACTACAGCCCAAACCAGCCAGGGATTGTTCGCCTACACACTCCTGAACAATACCCAAATACCATGTACTAATGGAACATATGCTTACAGTGACCGCTGAAACCACCCAAACGTAAGTAATTTTGCCATACATGGAGTGTCTAGGATATACAGCAAAGAACATCTATTGAAAACCAACAAGAGGGGTCTTAACGTCATGGTCGACCATCAGCAACCAATCGAGGACAGCGACTGTCGAACCCGACTCCGAATCTCCAATTCCGAAGTGAAGCACTAGTTCCAGCGCGCTCTATGCTCTTGCACCCACGACTCCTAACCCCTCCTAACCCCCCCCCCCATCCCGCCCCGCGAGCGGGGCCGAACGAAATGTGGAGGCCACTGTAACGGACAGCTGGGCAGCCCACATACATGCTTTCCACACGCTGAACGAAGGTGTCCATGACACCTTCGGTCTCCATCCGAGCACCTCGGTCTAACGTCCAACGTCCCGTCCAGACGCGGCCTTTGAGGCTCTGAAGACCGGTGGGACGCCCTGAAGAGGGTGGTCTGAAATCAACATGATATAAGGTGGCTCCCCATGATGTCCCACCTGGGAAATAGAGGGGTCCAGTGCCAAACATCCATAAACCCAACATTGGTTGTACACTGGGGGGTGGGTCGCCTCTCTATTTATCAACCAACCAACGGTAAAGGGCCATCTATTTTGCCTGCCCCACAACCTCCCGGATGAATTTGGGTATCATATGTCATATGGCACATTATGCTTCAAAATCCTTCCCATAAGTCATATATGTCGAACATCGAAAACATGAACAACAACAACAACAACAACAACTACTACTACTACTACTACTACTACTACTACTACTACTACTACAACACTACTTCTCAAAGAACCTGAAATTCACAAGTTCCAAATGTCTCTTCTTCATTTGGCTTCAACATCATGATTCTTTTGGGCTTCGCCACCTGCTGCACCACCTGAGTCTTCCACGTACCAGATCACCGGTGCCGCCCAGCATGGCCACGACCTCGTGCCGTAACGCCGACGCGATGGCCGCGGGTGACCGACGCACGGCTGGGCAACTGGGCAGAGCTGGTGAAGACGTCATTCTTGGAGCATGGCCGGTGTGGTATATATTCGGATTCATCAGGGTCATCCGAACAAAAACAAGCAATGTTCCAATCCACGTTGGCCCATGATTCCAGGGAGGTATTTGATTGACTTTTTTTTTGTGTTTTCTTGGAGTCTTTGTATTGTATAGTGTTTTGTTGGTGATACTTATAAAATAGAACGATCGGTGATGATCAAGGAACATGCTTGTGTGCGTGATAGGAATTTGACTGGACACATTGGTGATATCATCTGACATGGAGTTATGAGTGATGATGAATGCATTTGCGTCTTCGTGTCTTTGTCTGGAGATGCACTGCGACAGACTGTGACAGACCGTGACAGTTGTTTCAATGCACTGAGCTGCCACTGATGATTTGACTCATTTGACTCTGTTGAAGGAGCCGTAGCACAATGTGCTTGCCGAAATCACCAGCAGCGACATGAACCGGGATGTGTTTCATGAAGAATCACCAGCAGCGGCAAGAAGTTGGGTGATGCCACATCCTAAATATGTTGGGCTTGTTGGACCAAATCCATCGTCGTCAGCATCAAGTGAAATCATATCATAATAAGAATGTCAACCAACCTTGCTTCACCATCTTCACATGATTTCTGCTTTTTCTAGGCTATGGCATTTATGGCACAGCACCAAAGGGAACCCACACATCAAGCCGCTCTTGGCTCCGCACACTGGTGACCTTGGCATCCCATGTCACCATGGCTGCCACCTGGGCGTTGTCCAAAGTGTGGGTGAGCCGTCTGACACAAGCACAACTTGGGTTAAACATACCATAATGAGGTTGAGGCGTCCAAAACTTTCGAGGGTTCGTGCTTGGCTTATCTTGAGGTGTACATTTTGATGTGTATACGCGTATATACACAATCCGTTTGTCTTGGCTTTTGGATCACTTGGAGCAAATCTCTTTGTCTGTTAGCCGAGAAGAGGATCTGTGACCAACGTAGGTGACTAAAGAGAACTAACATGAACTAACTGCATGCAGGGTCTAGTTCAAGCTCTTGGCCAGCATACCGCTCAAAGGATGGCGTCCAGCCACGCATCCAAGGATCATCTGCGACACTCCCCTTCATTAAGTAAGAACAGGGACTATGACTATTCAAAAACATATGAGAAGCGGGATGAAGGATCCTCTGCAGCACGCATTAAAGGATCATCACGCACTCTTCGGGGGGAGTGGGTGGGCATACAATCACGTCATGCTTTGATACAATCGCCAGCCTTTGGGACCCAACACTTCTGTCTTCTAAGTCTCGCACAGAGGTGCCATTCTGCAAGAAGGATTCAATGCTGCCCAGAGCTGTTTGTGCGCGTGGCATGCGGAGCATGTGCTGGTACCTGCATTCACGCCGCAGCGATCTTGTGAAGATGGGGAGAAGCGTAGCGGAAGACACGAAATCTCTACATTGCAGGTGCCGTTCTGAGTTATGATTCTTGAAGGTCTTGGATGGTTTTGGTGTTCTCCATGTCTTGGGGCAAAAGTGAAAGACCAGAACCAGGCGTCGAAGCTTCAACAAAGGTTGTCGTATGGCACGTGCCTCAAATAGTGTTGAACCAAGCAACCATAGAAACAAACAAAACAACTACATCATCATATATCAATATCATTCAATATCACCCATACAAGGAGATGCCACCAAAAACACTCCACTTGAGCATGGCTTCCATGCAACACTTCTCCATACTTCCGGGAGCACCACGCTAAGCCTGCTGCCGGTTCCTTGGATGGGTCACACGCATGGTCGCAAGAGAGTTCGGTACACCCCAAGCTCCGCAATGGATGACATCATTGATGAAGATGGGGCCTGGTTGCAGGCCTTTCTGAAAATCGTGAGATTCTTTTTTGCTGACTGTGGCTGGCCATGGGAGACACCCTGGTGATGATGCCTTTTTCTTCAAAAGCTTTGGAGCACCAGATTGGTTCTACAGACCCTACTGTGGAGCCGTCAGTGACACCATCAGATTCGTATGTGGTCGACACCATCATCTTCATCTAATCATTTGACTCCGGGCCCAGGGCTGATCCACAAACGACAAAATAGAGATCTGGAGATGAGAGTGAAGATCCACATAATATGGTTCCTTACTTTAGCCTGTAGAGGGCCAGGGGGGCCGCCCATGACCATCCCAAATAGGTTCCTATGACCGCAGATCTTGTCCTGCTCTATATACGATCGCCGACTCCAAAAGGGATCACTCTCCTTCCCCCAAACCATTCCAAGCGAAAAATCTTCGAGAACAAATTGGGCTAATTGGGGGTCCATGAACACTCTGACCACTTTCGAGGGCATAGCATCATCCCTTGCAAGATGACATTTCCTCATTAATATATCGGAGGAAACGTCATGAAAACATCCACTTCGATTCGTGATTCGCTGCTGATGTTATGAAACAGATGTCCATCGCTGGGTCCTTCGCTTCCCTTCGCTTCGCTGTCACCGGATTGTTTCGCATCACCCAGGGTCGATGAGGATCGCTGGAAAGGCGCCATAGGGCGTCAAGACGTGGTCCTGGTCGCCCCAAGGAAACCGGTCGGGAGACGCGAGCAGGATGAGTTCGGATCTGCAGAAGCGCCGATATGAGGCTGTTCCGGATATGTTCTGACCAATGTATTTTTCTACATGACCATACATGACCATACATCAAATATGTTGGACAAAAACAAGGCAAACATCAAGCCCAGCAAATGAACATGCAAAAGCAAGTTGGAGGCCATCGCTCTTAGGCTGGAGGCCATCGCTCTTGGGTTGGAGGCCATCGCTCTTATGTTGGAGGCCATCGCTCTTAGGTTGGAGGCCATTGCTCTTGGGTTGGAGACCATCGCTATTAGGTTGGAGGCCATAACCTTTACCAGTCAGCAATATTCGACTTTGTGTTGTTTTGTTTTTGCTTTAAAGCATAACTTGACTACTTCATTGTATGGCCCATGGGGAGAATAAGCTATGGCTATAGGGGTGGTGTTGATTCACAGAACAGGGAAAAAATGTCATGTACATATATATATATTATTACATATGTATATATATATATATATATTATGCCGGTGCCCGAACATGTTGGCTGCTAGGTCATCCCCGCCATTCTTAACTTATACAGAAATATCATGAAATACACTCCCTGAAACTGAAACAATCTTGAAAGTAGATGGCGTGGCCTGTTCGCCATTGATGACCAGCCATTCCGAATATTGGTATCAAACAGGTGGTGAACTCCGCTTCCATGTTACTTTTCCTCGGAGTGTGCATTCTTCACTCCTGTCCCTCCTTTGCGTCTGCGTGAACAAACATCGCATGCAACACTGACGTGAATTCTGGGAGCCTCCTCGCTGGGTCCCAACATGGGGGTTGCAAACCCCATGGTCCACATATGTCCCATCCTGAACTATCCCCAAATGTCAGCCATACCCGCCATGGCCCTTGAAAACAGATGACAGATCGTGTTCAAGTGGTACAAGTGAACACCCCTTTTTGGGCTCGTGGGCTCAGGCGGAAGAAAGATCGGCTCCTGATGAGTCCCATTCACATTCCAAGTCCTACTGAGTTCAATGGGTTGGGGCTTGACTGCACAAGCGAATGATGAACAGGCCCAAGCGATCGGAAAAGGCCCAAGCGATCGGAAAAGGCCCAAGCGATCGGAGGAGTCCGGACTTTCCACATCACCGTAACTGTCACGGCATGGGTTCACAAGAAAGCAAGAGGTTCACAAGAAACAGAACGTTCTTGAACGGCTGTCCTTTGTGAATTGCGATAGAATCAGGTAGGGAGCCACACACTCCTGGCCCTGGGAAACCCTGAGGCGCCCCAGCCGTCAGAATCGGCTGCTCTGCCAGAGACTGGCGAGAGATGGGCGGAGACACAGGTTACCACAAGTCAGTCTAGAGTCTAGGTCTAGATGCTAAACTAGAGTCTACAGTAGATCATCATCATCATCATCATCAGCAGCAGCAGCAGCAGCATCATCACCATCACCATCACCATCACCATCATCATCATCATCATCATCATCATCATCATCACCAATCATCGTCGGGGAAGAAGGATGCATCACCCCCCGGCATCGCGCACCGCCCCACTTCCCCAGTTTCAGGAAAGTCGCCTCATTTGCCTACGTCTTCCAACCCTCCGAATGGCACCCTAGAAAGTCGCCTCATTTGCCTACGTCTTCCAACCCTCCGAATGGCACCCTAAACCCTGCAACACTGACGGAGGCGAGGAAGGGAGATCTGCAAACGAACGACAAGGAAGACACGACAAGGTAGCCCAAGAGACCTGGACCAAAAACTATCCAGCAGTGAAACAGAAACAACGATTGGCTGATTGGCAATATGTGCTTAGCTTGTCAATCCAGGAAACTGGATGTCGCCAAAACTGGTTTTCATTCTGCGTCAGCTTCACTGATGGCCGGATTAGCAAGATCTTTGACAAACTGAACATAGATCCTCCACCAGTGAAACAAACATCAGCTGATTAGTATGGTCAGTAATTAGTCCAATAGATGCTAAGTGCTCAGTTAATTCTGTTCTGGGAAACGGATCACTTACATCTACAGTGTACATATATATAATTTATAATACTGTAGATGTGCAGCATTCACATAATAAATAAATATATGCATATATGCTAGCTAATATTACATGACATATATTAATATCTATATATGTGTATTCTCCACGTTCCTCTCCACGACGTGTGACTTCCAACACATCGACGTACTTCGGTGAACTTCCCAACATTTCGGGTGGTTTCATCCGGTCACCCAAAGCGCCTGGATACCAAGAGCGCTGCAGTACGCGCCTGAGGCGCTATCACAGTGGAAGCCTGGCGGCTCAATGACCAAGACGACAAGAACAACAAGAACAAAAACAAGAAGGACCAACGCGCAGGTGTCTGAGGCCGCTGAGGTAGCTCATCGAATTCTCTATGCGTTGCCAAGATTAGAGGAGCTCATGGATGTTAGAGGATGAAGGAGATATGTCTGACAGCTCGATAGCTTAACAAATGTTGGCTGGTTTACCTGGTAGCACTAATTATGTCCAATCAACAGTGTCAGGACTTGTTTCTGTCAACGCTTTGTCTCCTCTGCTGGTTGCTGTATTCAAAAAAACTGGCTACTAAAGCTTTGACAGTTCTGCTCTTGTGCGAGATAGACTTGTGAGGTGGAAAAGCTTTGCAACAAACCACTGCGCATGGCAAGCACCAGGATGCACCAGTCCACATATTGATTGACCATGTTTCCAACACTCAGGGAGCTTCGGATGTTCCCACCCGTTCCGGGCACCCGGTCACCGACGGCCTGTCGGTGCATTCACAGATGCCATGAGGCCGTTCCTCGGGTTAAAGGTGAAAAGGTGACACCTCGCTGCTAGGTGGAAGACCTCTTAGTTCCAGCCGCTGGGCTTTTCGGGACCATCCCATTTCTATCCATTTCTCCACTTATGTGGAGGCCATTCTTCTAGGTAGCCTTCTAGGTAGCTGCAACTATATACTTTTCTTGATGCGGCATTTCGGCGTCTCTTGAAGGATCAGCCCATCCCATCCGCCCATCCCACAGCCCGAAGCCAACGCATCCGTCTCTTCGACCCGGTTAGACCGGTCAGACCGGTCCCGGTTCCTCCGGTCGTTGAGCCCACCAGACTCATAGTGTTGGCTGGTTAGAAGATGTTGGTGTTCCCAACGAAGAAAGAAACGTGAAAGAAACATGGGTCAAGATTCAAGTTCTTCACCACAGAGAAGGTCAGGCGCGCCATCTCTCCGTTCCGGAAGAGATGATGCACCTAGGCAGCGATGTGAGCAGACGTCGGCCACATCAGGGAGGGATGAAGTTTCTACACTAGGGTTCTTGAGTCATCATACAATGAATGATAGAATGTGCACTCAATAGTTAGTCAATACTAAAGATTTTCTTACTAGTTCAAGGTTTATCAGATCATCATATTCACTATATTTCACTGTAATGATCAATAACCAAGTTGTATCTTCTGCTTTATTACAAAACTCACGAATACAGGTGTCATCCTTGCATCAATGCAAGAACTGCCTATGAAAACACGCGTGATCACGCGGCAGACCGTGCAGAAATCCGCGACGATCGGTTCTTTCGCATCTGGTGCGATCAGTGATCATCCAGGAGTCCCCTGCCAATGGAATCTGCAAGTAAGGCAGCTGAAGGGTCTTCCATTGCTCATGCGCGGAGAACCTCAGCTGACTGAGACTACCCGCGCAGAGGACCGGAGAACCGGGACCTGCCGTCGTGGAGCGAGGGGCATCAAGTTGTGATGCACAGGAGTGACTCTCTTGCGGTCCAAATCAGTCCTTTAGACACTCTAGAAACAGACACCCAAGCTAGCTAGAGCTCCATCTACCTTCTGAGAAGGTTGTTGGGGTGGGTTTGGAGGATCTAGCTACCTTCCGAGGATATGGTGGGAGCCCCAGGACGACTTACAGTATGTGTCATGTGAGTCATGTGTGGGCCAAGTCTCGGTAGGCATGAGGGGCTCACTCTGCTCCTGTCCCCTCCATCACCTCCAAGGGACCAAAAGCCCTCCTGGATCACATAGGTATTGTTGCTCTCATTGTAGAGAACTGGATCCACCTTACCGAGGTGGAAAGCCCAGTCGAAGTCGAACCAGTACTCCGCGTGCGAAGGCTGGCTGTTGGCACTTTGGGAGAAGGTACGTCTGTGAAAGCGGACGTGTGAATGGTCGTTTCAGCTGGTCTTCATTTACACCCAAACCAAGCAAGCAGAATCTGATGGTTGTCAATGAATGTAAAGCTCCAATTTGTGTCCGCTTTTCAAATCTGGACGGAATGGTTGACATTGGTTGTGACAACTAAACTACACAGTTCTACCTAGATCTGTCATGTGAGCAAGATCTGCGCCACGGAGTGTCCATCTTCTTGCCTGGTTGTTGCGATATGCGCCACGGGTAGTAAAACCGTTGAGATACACCGAAACACCCGGCTGAAACTTGACAACACCCATGCAGCCAGCACACGTGCTGCGCTTTGATGTTCCAAATCTTGTCCTTCTCCGCCTCGCGGCAAGGTCGACCACCAGGCCCCTCTTCGGTCCCATTGGCTTTGATGTTCAAGATCCCCCCTCCCACATTTCCACAGGTTCGTCCAAATGTGCAAGGCAGTAAGCGATTCGAAGTGTGTTCCTCCCAAGCCTTGGACCCCCTGACCGTCACCCCTGGGGAAAGGGGGGGCCATGCCCAGCGTGTCCGCTCTCTCGTCGCCGGATGGGTCACACACTGCCCGGTCGCGTCACCGGTCATGTGCGCCCGGTCGCAGGTCGGAGTCGACACAACCAGTTTCTGGAGGATGCCAAAGGTGAGAAGCACCCCAGAGCTTTTTCTGGTTCATGTTACGTGAAGAGAATCAACATGAATCAACTAAGGTGATAAATCGTCTGGAAAACTTTGCCAACATGATCTTCACTTCTCTATGGTTCTATCAAAAGTTCCACTGGAGGACCAACAGCACCAGGCCGGGCTACTCCGCCCATGTTGCGGCCACTTGAGACCACCCACACCTGCCTGGGGGTCGGTGTAGTTGCTCCAATTCCCCATGAGGTCAATGAAGAGAACAACCCTTGGAACAAACGCGGACATGTTGCGAACTGGAGGCCTACTCATCATGTGTGAAGTATACAGGTCTACAGCTTGGTTAGAAGACGGTAGAAGAAATTCCGGGTTGCCGTCTTTGCGGGAAGTCCAAAGCAAATCCTGCATGAGGGCTTGACTTCAAAGTGGGACGCGTGCTCCCAAGCTTGTCCCAACGGACTTGCAACCAACTGAAACAAAAACCATACGCAGTCAGTGCTCCATCCACAGTCACAAATCCCCACTAGTCACAGATTGGCTGAGGCGCATCTCACCTTCGAACGGATCCCAAAGCACCTGGGGCTGTTTTGGAAGAAAAACAAACACGTCGCACACACCGCGAACCGGCGGGGTTGGAGCACGATCAGGGAGGAGTGGACACTGGGATGGTGTCCATTCTTGGGTTGATTCCTTCTGTCGGCAATGCACTTGTTACTACTAGTAGCTTCTTAATTGCTACTAGTATGGCCAGGAGCTACTGATAGCTTCTTGCTCCTAGTAGCGATGCCCTTTGTTACTAGCTCTTTTTTTGGTTCAGAGCTCAGGCCATGAGATGTGCCACAGGCCGTGGAACTTCGTACTTCGGATCTGCCCGACTCTGCCGACGATCACCGGTGCTGGAGTCTCCCCGCTCGTGCCGCAGGTTTTTCCACTGGGAACGAACCAGAAACACGAACAAGCAACGGTGGCCGGCCGGACGGAGCCAACACAAAGGACCAGAACAAGTTCCAATCTTCACCAAAATACAATAGTTGCTTTGCTTCAGAATGGAACCTCAGGTTTGGTCCACTCCATGCCAGCCACCTGCAGCCATCACGTCCCAATTCCCTCGCACCGCCCGTGTCATCCCAATTCCCTTCCGCACGTAGTTCTCTGCATTGTAGGCATTGGTGGAATTGTTGGCGGCCTCGGAGCCACGGTTGGTTTTTGCGAATCAGCACCTGCACCTGCACCTGGCACAGACCTCACGGTAACTAGCTGGACCATCCTGTCTGGGTGTCCAATGGAGATTCCTAAGGAGTGTAGGGAAACTATAGTCCATTGGACACCCAGACAGGATGGTTCTGAGATCTTTTGTATTTGAATCATAGAACTCTCAGCCGATGTAGCCCAAAACAGAGAAAAGCCGGGGTGACTGAGTCTCGCTATGCTTGTGTGGCCAAACTGGCCAGCCCGACCTTCGCTCGCTCGCGACTTGCTCTCGGTCTCCCACATCCACGCTGGCATTCTTGATCGTGGCGATGGCACGGACCTACGGATCGCACGGGCTGGCAAATCCCCTTAACAACAACGAAGATGATGGGAACTCAGTTTACATCCTCTAATACGCCATCAAAGCAAAGTCCTTTTACAGATTGACTGCCCAGAAAGGACCAATTAGAATCAGTTATTGAGACTTCTGCTTTCCTTGAGACAAATATGGTCCTTTCCCTCTGCGACTGGGACTTCGACAGTGCCGGTGCCCGGGCCGTCGTAGAAGAGGTTCACAGCAGTGGCCTGTGGAGAAGGACCACCTTCAGGTGATGATTGGAGTAATCCCATCTCAGAACCTTACTAAGGCCTGAATGAAGCGTGCGAAGGGCCTGAAAACCCGAGTCAAATGCCGAATGATGATCTCTACTATCTTTGCTACTAGATTCCAGATGCTACTAGTGAGGGGACAAATCCAAGGCACGACATATTTTACAGGGCACATTACAGGATCGTTTAAGGGACATTGAAGCTCTGTGGACTTGTGACTAGTGAGGTGCCTAAGTTGACCTTTCCTTTCACAGAATCGATTGTGTCTGGAACACCGTTTCAGATGGTTCATGGGAAACTGGATACTCACATCCCAAGCCATCCGAAGGGCCGAAGGGAAGCAAGCAAGCCAAAAATAACAGCGCCTTCAAGCAATCCATCGGATGCTTTATAATGCTTTGGGTGAACAACGGTTGTGAGTGCGCTGGAAGGTCCAAACATACTACATATATATATATATATATTTGTAATAACAATATAATATATAATATATTATTAAAATACAAGGACTCACAAAGAGGTGGTTCTTAGTCACATCCAGTGACAAAATGTGACGATGTCACACCCTTCTCCTCCAATCATCGGCACCCCTATCCTCCCATGACTCCTGGTAGACATGATACACTCTTCCAGATATACGTGTCCCGGGGTGCACTTGGGACTAGTCCCTAACATGTTCAGCTCTAGAGCGGTATTTCCCGGGGAATAACCGGAGAAAACGGTATCATAATGATTTTGAACATGGCCCAACATGCCTCGAAAAACTGCTAACCTGTCCCATCCCAGAAGAGATGCCCACTTTTGGAGCGGGCTATGTTAGCCTTTTTGGGGGCAAAATCTCAATGGTTCTGAAATTCGTGAACGGACATGTTAGCGTGGTCCGTGCAAACATGTCCACCAAGACACCAAAGCAAGGGCAGTCGCAGGCCATGTTAACTAACCATGGCGTCCCTGATTTTTTTCCGCAGACTGCTCTGACTGCTCTGGTCTTTCCCTGTTGGATCCCCTGGGTTTGTTCTGCTTGGTGCACGTGCCGTCACGTGCCAACGCTCAGTATCCCACACCAAGATTCAGATTTTTTCATAATGATTTTAGTCTAGATCCCCAGGATCACATTGCCAGCCAATGACCTCTAAGCAGCTAACCTGTCCAAATCACATGTTTGGAAAAAACAACTTTTGCATCGCTAACGTGTCCTGTTCCTGGATCTGACAACTAACTTAACCAAAAAAAATAAATAAAAGCCTTTAAAAGGATACGTAAAAAAACCGGGAGAGTATACAAATGAATCGCATCTTGTGCGTCCACCCATCCGTTCCACCCGTCTCCCCAGTCTCTCCGCGCCCGCATGCGCTTCAGGCGGTTTTCCCAGCGCTGAGCCAGGGTAGAAATCCGACCTGAAGTGAAATCTGACTGCGACCCAAATCAAAGGTGGGGATGGGTGGTTCCAGTGATTCCCAAGAGTGTTTTACCTGAGATTTCATGTGGTTGCATCAATCACCCAGGCTGGATTCCCGGCTGGGTGGCTCTTCTTCAAAGATATACATCTACTTTTGTACAATTTAAAAGAATGTTGAAGATGATGGAAATGAGGGAGCCCCCGCATCTGTGTTTTAGTCACATGGTTTCTTTTCCCACTGGTCGAGCAATCACAAACAGTTGCTGCTGAAAGAACCTGACTCTTTTTCTTTGTAGATGTTGATAGTGAACTTCCCACTTTCAAATCGCCCCAAAGCCAACTTTCACTTCCCTCGTATGAGGACATGTGTCCAGGTTCGTGACCTAAGCATTCACTGTGAGCTTCATGTCCCCATCCGATTGTTGATTATATGAATGCCTAGAGGTCAGTCAGATATGACTCACCGGTTTGATAAGAAAATAACCTATGTTTTGGATATGTTTGGTGGTCCAAAACCAAGGTCACGAAAAGCCAACCTGGGCTAGTGCCCCGGTTGGGGCGCACCTCCTCTGCCCGATTCCCATCTGAGCCACTGCTTTCAGAGCTCCGCTTCTGCAGCACTTGGACCTGCCAATGGCCCCAAGAGACGAACTCCCCAAGACAGGCCTCAAAGGTTATGGTCCACATCTTTAGACAGTCTATGCAGAGTCTTAGGACAGAAACACAGAGAATGAGTGAACTATGAACCAATCATGCCCCTGTGTTTTGAGAGGAAAGAAACACATCTTATATAATTTTGTGTGGTTAAGTTGGTGATCCCAAATAAAGGTCACATAAAGATTAGCGGTTTAATGGAGACAATTTATAGTAACTTAATCATTGAACCTCCACGACCTGCATAGGTCGCTATTCCCTTTTTGGATGTCTCAGCCCTCTCAGCCACTCTCCTGTTCTTCCGTTCCTCTCTCCGTTCCACCCTCGAACCCAGCGGATGGGAACGGCCGGCTTCATCCCCCGCACCAGAGCAACTGCTGCCCAGGCCATCTGCCCATTGTCCAAAGCGGGCACACCTTGGTCCACCAGTGCTCAGGGCTGCGACAGAGCAAGGTGCCCTAGGAGGTGAAGCTTGCGATCGGCTGCTTGACGATTCTACGATCGGCTCCATGATGTGGAAGCATCCCTCAGTTATTTTGCAGCTGTTCCTCTGTATAGTCGGGAAACCAACATATCCGACGACAAAAGTTGATTTGCCACTTGAATCCACTCACCTGAGGATGTTCCCGGTCCGACCAGTGTGGAAACAACTCAGCCACGCCTCCTCAGAACCTCCCGTGGCTCCGAACCCCCCCATCCTCCCCAACCCCCAAACCGCCATTCGCCTCGCATCTCGCCAAGGCGCTGAGCACGGAGGCGGAGTCCACTTTGGGTTCAATGAAGGTGAAGGTCTCGTTGAGGCCTCCAAACCAGGCCGCCAAAACACCCGGAGCGAGCAAGGCGGAGCCCTCGCAGTCTTCACTGTTGAGTCGTCAGCCGACACGGTCGGCGTAGACTTCGGTGCGTTGACTTCGGAGCTCGCGAACGCTGGCATTTCAGATGGGGGTCACAGTGGAGGTGAAGGGAGATGGCGATGAAGGGAGATGAGGTCAGCCATCTTCAGCCATGTGGTTATGTTATGTCATGTTCCTTTTTGGGATGTGTTTGAAGGTTGTCTGACTCGCAGGGCCTGAAGTTCGGAGCTTGCACATCCATGCATGTTATACCTAGATGTTCTAAAAGACTGTAATGTTTGCCTTTTCTTGGAAATCGGGCTTTTTACGAAAAAGGCAGAAAAAACGCCCTCGGGCGGATCTTCCAAATCAGGTGGTTTCAACGAGGAGCCGTAATTTGCAAACTGCAAAGCTCAAACAGGTCTACATGTAAAACAATATAGAGAATTTCTGGGGTTTCAAAAACGCAAAACTTCCCGGCATTCGGGCGGAACTTCCCGGCATTCGGGCGGATTTACCCGAACACCCTGTTTTGTAATATGTTGTAATCATGATTCATGACTTTTTTTGGCACTGATGTTGCGTTTTACAAATTCTGAATTTCTGCAACTGCCTTCGGGCAGAAATTTATGCCTCAGGCGGAAACCTGAGATTCGGGCAGAAAAAGCAGCCTGAAACCATTCGGGCAGAAATATACCGGAATGCAGGTCGTATTTCTCCAAATACATCGAGCTTTTGATTCATTTGATAGTTAAAGTTACAGTTATATAGTTTTTTCGACGCATGGAGATATGACCGTCTTGCACATGAGGCCTCTCCCCACCAGGTTGTGTCCTCCACATCCTCCAGAGCCATTCATGGATGTGGAAATATGGACCCCCCTGAGAGATCCTTTTCCTCTCCATGCATGGCTTCTTCCAATTTCATGGTGCGACTATGTGCGACTTTGAGATGTGTCTCTTGGGAACGCATTCTTCCTTCGTTTCCGGAATCATGGAAACCGGTCTAGTCCTTTGTTTCTCTGCAAAGAGTGGAACAATACGACACATCTCCACCCTCTGCACCTTTGCAGCTGCCATTGCTGATGCCACGAGAACAGAACCTCATACTGGCTGAACATTCGGCAGCTGGCCGGAATCGGGTGGTGGAGTGGCATGGCTAAACAGTTGGTACATGTCAGGATTACTGTATGTGTTCACCATGCTTCCGGACCCCCCAATATGCAGAAGTCCGGATGTCAAGACATGTCCTTTATGATCTTGACATGTTGCACCCAAAGCTGTTTGTCTATGACTGACTTTCACCTCTAGGACCGGCTGCCGGAGACGTCGTTGGCCCTCAACCGCATCCAACGGGCAGGTGGGATCAATCCGCATCCAACGGGCGCGACACGGCTGGTGAGGCCCTTGCCAGGTTGGACGAAAGCCTTCTCTCTACGACTGCGAGGCGGGCGCTTTGGCGACATGCCAGTTTCGTGACAGAAACGAAAAAGTAGAACATACCAGGTCCATTCAGGTCCTGTCTGGGTGTCCGAGACGTCCTAGTTAGAGATGTCCAGACAGGACACCCACAGGATGGTCCAGGTATGAGAGACGCGGCTCTGATCTTTGACGACACGTTGGCCCTGGGCCGTCGACGACACGTTGTGTGGCCACTCTTTTTCGAACGGTACCGGGTGCCAACGTCTCTACCGTCGCATCTGGGGTCTACGCTTTGGGAAACTGCAACAAAGCGTAGAATGATAGCTATAAGAGAAACATGATACCTCCAAGTCAATGACCTTGTTAAACTTGTTCATGATGAACACTATTAAAGTTTAAATCTATTAAACATGTCGAAACTAGCTTTACTTGGACCCATTAAAACAAAAAATAGTTTTCATGACCTCTTCAGGTGGTTTGGAAGGGAATCAAAGGCAATGTTGAGTGCTTTGAGGCTCATTTTTCGACATTAATAAGAGCAAAGAGGTCGGAATTGTGGGCCAACTATTTAGCGTAACAGGAGTGTAACTGGAGCGTAACAGGTGTTTAGTATGTGCTTAGTCCCCTTTATGTTTGCAATATATAAGGACATATTGACCATGTTGTTTGTGATATTGCGATTTTTGACAGTTGTTTTTGCTGCACTCTTGCAGCAGTGTGGTGATGTTGAACTTGCTTGGATAGAAGGACGTGAGTTCCGACAAACAAAAGGTACTCGTAAAATTTGTTCTTTCGAACAGTACTCGTTTGAACTTGCGCTTGGGACTTGCAGGGAATGATAATATCTTACCATATGTATCCATATGTTGCATTGCTAGGCAGGATAAAGTCCAAACTGTATAAATCGCATGTCTATCTGATTCTATCTGATCCTTTCGTCCTTGATCGTTGACCAGTGACGCCCCGCTCTACCCTCCTCGCCCAAAACCTACTGTACTATCTACGCAACCCTGGACCGGTGGCGCCGGACGCCGCGACGTCCACCGCGTGTTCTCGGTCCAGGTCGCCAGGGGAGGAAGCCGCCACAGGCAGGGAAGCGTCGATCGAAGTCCTCCATGGAACTCACCTCACCGACCGTTCCGGTTGCGGCCCCCGCCGCGGAGTCCCCGTCGTGCCCCGTTCGGCGCGAGCGCGGCATGGGTGGGTGGTCACACGAAGTCCCCCGCGCCGGGGGCGATGTGTTGGGGTGCACTGCCCGCGTGACGCACCGCTGCGAAGGATGCAGTTTGCATGGATCCTGCGTCCGTTGAATTTGGTTGGTCAGGTGCTGGAGCAATGTGTGGACTGTGAAGAGGAAACATCTGCACAAAGGATAGTAGGTAGCAAATCTAGCAAATTCTGGCGTTTCTGTGTTGTTCATTACTCTTGAATGATGGATTTCTTCATTGTCATCTTTGGTGATGTCAAAAATCATATCCCGAAATCGGAGGCCACCCGCCCTCTCCGACCCGCCCTGTTCGACCCACCTTCTTCTCCAAGATCTCCAAGGCCTGAGCGCTGCCCACCCGGCCACCAGAGACTGCGCCGCCGACCACGGAAAACCGCGCCGACGTGCCACGCGTGCCTCATCCATGCTGTAGACCAAGGGCAGCAACTCCCGACGCCTCGGCATGGACGTCGGAGCGTCGTCCGCGCCGCACCGAAAGCGTCGAACCGGCGGAGTGGAGGCGCCGAGAAGTGAAAAGGGTTTGGGAGGCCTACCTAGGGCGGGTTTGGTGAACCATCTCAATCGGTTTGGGCCTTCCTGGACTGTGATCCTTTTGAACGAACATCCGTTCGTGCCACGGACGCCACGCCACGGACGCGCCGCGCGCCCTGGTGGGTTAAGAAGACAGAAATGGGATGGACGTTGGCCGGACCAACAACGCCAAAGGGAAAAAAACACGGTCAGAAAGACACATGTAGCGCTTCAAGGCTTTCCCTGGTGCTTTCTGAGACTCTTTTGGGTCATGTGATCGGAAAGAGGAACAACCCCAACGATGCTGCTCTAAGCACCAGTGGGAGAGCTCCAGAAAGGTGAAAATTACAAACAACACCAAAAGAGCGATCAAAGACTTGGCAGAATCAATCCAAGCAAAACCTTCCCATGTGAATGTCCGGCCTCATGTCTGGCCTCGTTCATGTCTTCGTGTCTGGCCTTGCTCCTTCACAGCGAGTACATCTACCCGATGCAGCGCAGTACCACTGAGGCCCTGACTCCTCGTCCACATCCTGTGGGCAAAAACCGTACGGATTGGAAACCGTACCCTCTTTTGCAGGTTCTCATGTCAAATTCATTGGTAAACGCAGTGCTTTGTCATGCGTTTTGCCTAAATAAAAAACGTCCTTTTCGCGACGCCTCAAGTTGCCTGCTTTTTGTGTAACTAGCTGTCCCCAGGCAGGCTCCGTGTGCAAGTCATTTTCATCGATGCCATTGTCGAGCAAATCAGCGGCGGCGCACCCATCCGACATGGAGCTGATACAACTACGCAACAAATGCCAACTCAACATCAACAGTCACCAACAGAAAAGGACTTAGTTTCTGTTTTTCGAAAAAGAAAACCTCAACCACACATTGCACCAAAGTGAGAACAACGAAAAACGAGTTTCTAACACCTGCTCCCAGTTTACCCAGCCACGATCTGAACCCAAACCTGTTTCGTGAACAAAAGAAACTCAAGGGACAGAACAATCACGAGTTAAGCCGTCTACGTACTGGTCTAAAGAAAAAGGGCTGACGCACCACAAAGGAAGAAAACACAAAAACGAGGAGGACAAGGAACACCCGACAACCGAAACAACAAAACTAAAGCGCACACCGTGGCTACGTCTTGAGCCTTCGCGCTCATGAGACGTATGTGAAAACAACGAAATTACAGCGCCCCCCCCCTGTTTTCTGTTTTTGGGCCCCCGTTTACGCTATTGCTTCAACTTGGTTACAGTATCTTGCGATATGCTCTTACGCAATGCATTGACATGCCATAACATTTGGCTCAAGGTATGTGAGTGTGAAAACAGCCGCTCGATCGCCTTCGCCCACTCGCTCTTGTGAACCTTGTTGGACTGTGAGTTGAATCCAGGGATACTATGCATTACACGCTCCACTGCGGGGAATTTGATCCTCACCCCACCCTCCCACCCCCCCAACACCATGCGATGACATGACCGAGCGTCGTGGAGTCCAAAAATGTCAGAAAAGTGGGTCCGGTTTTCAGTCCCTAGGCAAAAACAAGGACAAGAAAACAACAATGCATGTACCGAATTGAATATCATGACAGAGCAATCCTGTGGCCTTCAGAGCATGTTGTGATCTTCATGGATTGCTCTGAAGCTCCCCAGGTGCATCTACTGGTGCATCTATGCACCAGACCACCTCTGTCTTTACAAAGACCACATGGATGACAGGCCATGGACCTGGGCACCCTTCAACGGCTGCTGCCGCTGGCGGCGGCTTTCTGGTGGAGCTTCAAGACAATGTCCGCTATCACAGCCTTCCAAGCTATCGCCTAATACCGAGGGAAGCAAACTCGTGGCCCGAAGGATGAACATGTTTCCCAGTTCCTGCCTGAGGCGGCTGCAAGGCAATGGCCAACAAACTCAAGTGCAAAGCCCTGGTGTGCCGGCCGTTGTTCTTCGTCTTCCGTCGGAAAGCGGTCGGTCGGCCGGCCGCCAAAGGGTAATAATGAGTTCATTGCCATGTTTGACACCACTGAAGTCAAGAGAAGTCTAGGGATCCAAGTACAAGGACCTTCGAAGGTAATTGTACCCTCCAAAGCTACATAACAGTGTCTCCAATCACCGTACCTCAGAGGCCAAGTGGATCCGGGTGACACGCCGGAAAAGAGCGCCATTCCAACGGGTATGTGCTCCGGCAGTGGAGTTGAAAACGTTCCCAGGCGAGAAACAACCTCATACACCCTATATAAACACATGTTGTGCCATGGGTTGTGCAGGTTCGTCTGATGTTCATACCTTTTCAAAGGTATAACCCCTCACAAAAAATGTTGAGGCTGCACACAGGTGCACCAAAAGAGGGACTTGCTGCATATATGAATTCAAACACAAGGACAGGATGAATCTTGATCTGGGAAGAACACTTCGATTAAAAAAGATCCAACATCCCTCTGTTCAAAATGGGTCATGAATCACCCAAATGATCTTACATCTCGCTGTGTGGGCGTGTTGTGCTTTCCAGCAACTTCTAATCCATGTGTGTGATGTTGGTTCTTCAGTTGCTATGACAGCTATGATGCATATTGACGCTTCTATCATGATATCATATCATATTGTTCTTCCAAACAGGGCAACCTCTGCAGCCTTCCCTTCCCTTCCCTCCTTGGGGCCCCCTGACTCCTTGGAGGCCGCAGAAAAAACCCGCAAGCCGTCGGACCTGGGCGACCACAGACCGGATGGTGGGGGCGGACAGCCTGGAGCCTGGAGCTAAGGGCTGGCCCATAAATCGATGTCATTATATACATTGCCAGGACCGTCCAAGGGGTGGTTAATGGACACCCCTGAACAGCTAAAGGGGATATAAAGTATACAAACATTACATACATGTGTATGATTCTGTATGATTATATAATATATACACACATGTTGCTGCTATGACGTAGTTGGATAGAACTATGACCCAACCCACTGTTTCGTTGAAGTAACTTGGAGGGCTACGTACTACTACTGTGTAAATGAGGTGAACCAGGTACTCCTGCGCAAATCATCCTAAGTGTATCATGTCTGCTTGACAATCAAGATTTGGCCATCAAAGTGGCCAGTGAACAGCTTTTGTTCCACCCCCATCTATTCTACCTCCATTAGATCTCCGGCAACCGTGTATTCCCTTCTGCGCGGAATGCACCAGCGTTTTTGCTTCCAACGCCGTGCGTTTCACTGGCTCAACTGGTCCGGGAAATCGCTGCCTGCCGGCGACGATGGCGGGTGGTCTGTGGCAGCCGGGTGGTGTGGTCTCCTGCGGCAGCATGCGGGGTCATTTGGTGTGTCACTTGTGTTCTCTTCACTAAGATCAATGACATCATTCCAATAAAAACAGGGGGAATGATGTTGTTCAGGATTGTGAAGGGCGTTGAGAAAAGCTTATCATCAAGCGTTCAGGGCTCTCAATTGGAGACACTCTTACTGATGAACCCATCCATTTACTTGTGATAGTTTGCTGATGATGTTTCTGGAAGATGGACACATATATATATATATATATATAATATTATTCATAAATAAATAATCTATCTTTGTCCGGGATGTAATCTGTTGTCCAAGGGTTTTGGTGCTTTAAAATGCACCGCTAGTATCAACTAAAATATGCTGCTATATGTATTCTGTGTCAGCCCCATAAACTCGTCTCACCATGAAAGGTCATCAACATGAAAGGCTTCATCTCTTCCTTTTTTGGATTCTCTGCCTCGACTCCCATAGATGCCTCTACTGAGCTACCCACAAGTTCTTAGCCCTTGTCGCTTTTTGAGGTGGATCTGGATCCAAAGTTCACTCATGCCAGCCCCACAATGTTGTTCATCTCACCGAAAATCGCATGCGTTCCATGACATCGACTCTTCATTTCAGAGGTTCGATGGTGCCAGTCCACCCCAAGAATGTCTTAGACAATTGGGGGTCCACTACTAAACCACCGAACTTGCGGCCTCACTTGTGCCATTTTTCTCCTCTGAAACCACCGGTCACAGGGGCGTCCCAGACGCTCATCGCCTTGCTCAGTCTTCATCGCCTCCAACGTTTCGAGACGAGACGTACGACGCGACGTCAATCGTCATCCGCCGGCGGCCCCGAGACGTGGTCGATGCCAAAGAGGAAATGCCTCTTTTTGTGTCGTATACACTATGATGTAGTATGACTAGTTCCAAACCTTGTTATGTTATATTACTATATCTTCGTTCTATGGTCTATGGACCAGATTTGGGGGCATTTCATAGGCTTTTCGTTTGAATGAGACCTGCTAGGCTAACCCCACACATGTCTCATGAGGCGATCTCTAGTGGATTGAGAGTAGATGACACGTTTCCCCATGTTTCTTGCTACTAAGTACTTGCAATGGCCTCCACTGAGCATAGCGTCCGAACGCTACGACAGGAGTCTCCAGGAATGACGAAGTCATCAGCTACGGGTCTTCAACTGTTCAACTTGATCCAATGAGGAAGACCAAGCATCAAGGTCGGCCACATTCCAATCGATTTCATGATTCGATCTTCAAAGAACACATCGATCTTCATGGTGGCACAGTGAAACTCTGAAACCTGGTCAAACTGGGACGCTCAACCTATCTCAAGCTCCTCCGAGTTTCCTTGTCTTCTTCAACAAACACACCTAAACCATACTCCAAAATCTCCAAACCCAGCCACCTTCCACCACCAAAGCAACTGGTCACCCCCCAAGACATCCTCCAACCCCCCCCCTCCAGGACCTCGCGAGCCGCGCTCGCCTGCGGCCACCACGTCGGCCGTCAAGGTGTTCATGGCCTCCTCGGCCTCCGGACGCATCATCTCCACTCCCATGTCGTCACCTGAGACGCCGACGCTCCGCCGGTTCGAGCCGCTTCGCGGCCCGGACGAGGCCGTCGGGGCCTGAGGGCAGGGGGAGAAGTCGGAGTGACAAGGAAAAGCAGGGAACATCAGGGAACATAGTGGACAGAATGGCCTCACCGCAAGGATCCAAAGGGGATAGGATTATCTCGTGTAGCTCCCACCTAGATTCCCACAGGCCACCCATGTGTGGATTCCAAAGAAGGTGACCCACTCTGCGGTATTTGGACAATCAATCAAACTGGAGTTTTCTCAGAATCAGCCTTCACACAATATTGAAGACCGGCAAAGTACAGTATATAATGAGAGCAAAAACATGAACATGTTTCTTCTGTCCAGTAGGATGTTGGTTGGTATCATAGTTGGTATCCTAAATCAATGAACAAAACTAATACAAAACACATTATGTTTTAACCGAATCTGTCACCTATTGAACCCAACTTCTTCCACACATTTCTACACACACACACATACGGCCGGCCGACCCTAAATCTTTTGATTCTTTCTTTCAGCCCCTCCTTCCTCCTCAATCACCTCCTCAACATCCTCCTTGCTGCCTCCAAGGTGCCGCCATCGCCATGAAGCTCCATGAGCTTGGTGATGTCGAACTTGGGCTTCTTCAAGATCTTCACCTCATGTATGTCAATCCTAACCTCCCCAAACCGTGGATGATGGGCCTGCAACCATCAGGCCTGCAACCATCTCTTTCCAATCCTGATGCTTCCTTCTTTTACAAGACATCTTCACAAACTAGGACAGTCAAACAAGCAAATCTTCACTGCTTCTACTGACCTCTAACAAAATAGGACAGACCCCCCAAAAATCTTCACCTCTTTGTTGGGGAAACATCTCTGACTGACCGCTTTGGTCTCCACCTTCGGTCCGGCCCACCGGTGACGAACACGATGCTGACACGAGAGCAGCAGCGGTTTCGGGGCACACGGCGGCACACACGGCGGCACACGAAACGCACGCGGCGTGGATGGATGGCATCTCCCCAAAAACGGACCGAGGTGCGGCTGACGACGTAACGTTGGGGCGCGCTTTGTTGGGTTCAGCTTGCTTTGTAGTGGCGATGGTCATGACTTTTTAGGACGCGTTTTCAAGGTTGACCAGTCACCATGAGTCCCGGCTAGTCACGTTGAGTCGCGGTCGTGATTTTGGATCAGCAGATCAGGAGAAAAGTGCTGGTGAACCTATAGTGGATTGAGAGTAGATGGCACAGACCACTGTAGTATAGGTGGTTTAGTATGGTTTAGTAATAGTCGTGGATCCCCATCTGTTCCGGACATTGTCTGAGTCTGTGCCATCGAACTTCTGATGGCCCACTGTAGTACCGAGTTTAGGAGTCAATCCCCTTAGATCGGAGATCTTCGGACCCATGCGACCCAGGAGTGCGTCCAATCCAGGAGGAAGACGGGGTGTCCAGTGCCGAACGGAAGGGACTGGAGGATTTAGGGGTGCCCCGGGCGACACCTTCACAGCCCCTGAGATGGGACGAACCAACCCCACCCAGTCGAAGGTGACTCCGGATCTTCATGGTGAGTCAAACTCATTGGGTTTCTCGTTTCTCGGCGCCCGCCAAAACCGCCCCAACACCCCCACGTCCCACGCCCCCTTCTCCCCTTCTTCTGACTGCACCTTGCGGATCAGGCAGTCCTGGCAAACTCTGGCAAATACAAAATGACACAGGCAATGGAAACGCCAAAGCTGTGTGAGTTTTTGATCACAGTTGAATATCTTTGTGAGAACCATCTAGAGCTACAATGTACTAATATGCCTGGTCATGTCATCCTGAACATAGCTGGGTAACATCACAGTGACACAGGTTCATCCCCGAGAAGCAGCAAGGTCACAGGAGGACCAGAAGCCGATGCCATTGTAATCTGGTTGCAGGTCGTTGCAAACGAAGATCTGGAAACAGACTCACGAGCTGCGACAGCGAATTTTCGCGATGTTTGGATTGATGAAACTAAGCATGCCATGGTGAAGCTTGCAAACACACAAGATAGATCAACATATAACTAGAAAGTGCCAGTCTCGCAAGAACTTAAAAGTCAAGCTTCAAGAGATGATACAAATTCTTCATTCATCTTGGCTCACCAAAACCTGCATCATTCTATAGTGTATATACTAGTCTAGTCACTTTGGATGCTCACCCGGTCGGCAAGGGGCCGAGTGCTCGTTCGCCCGATCGATGACGGTGGATGAGCTCCGATCACTTGTTGAGCTCCGAGGTTCACCGGTTCTTGGACCGGTGAACCAGTAAGTCTAGCAGTCGGTGGTTCGAATCAAGTCTCAATTGGTCAACCACCCGATGTTCACCTCGCATGAAGGCTAAATGGAGGGTGTATGCTGAATGGGGGTCAGCAAAAAGTGCTTGATTGTACGAAGTTAGTGCATCAAAAATGCCTTCCACAAAGTTCTGCGAAGGTTTCTGTTTTTGTTGCGGGTCGTTCTTCCTACGAACAAAACATAATTCCACGGAACATCCACGAAGAGCCCCGAGTTCCACGAATGTCCCGGGCCTTCAACGAAGTTAGTATAGGCAAAATAGGTGTTTGATGGTTTTTGCATTTTCTTGCAAAACCCTTTCTGTGCACTAGCCACCAGTGCCACCAGCGGCGACAGAGACTTTGATCCGGGTCGTTCGATCTTCGGCGGGTCCTTCAGGGGGAAGATCCCCTGGCACTGCTTCTCCATCTCCTGGCGGGCCAATGAGCCACGAACGACCTTTCAAAGGAAAAACCACATCCAAATCCAAACTTCTGACCTTAGCACATCTTAGCACAGTTCAGGCGATTCTTAGCTATAGCATGTTTTCTTAGATAGCCATCTCGAA